CCCTGGGTAGAGTGTTGTGGCATCACAGCTCACAGCAACCTCCAACTCCTGGGCTCAAGCGAGTCTCCTGCCTCCACCTCCCTAGTAGCAGGCACCCACCACAACACCCAGCTATTTTTTTGTTGCTGCCATCATTGTTGTTTGGTGGGCCTGGGTTGGATTCGAACCCGCCAACTCAGGTGTATGTGTCTGGCGCCTTAGCCACTTGAGCCACAGGCACCAAGCCTCCCCACAGAATTCTTATGTGACACCACGGATTTTATCTGCTCCAAGTGTATTTGAGCTGAGAAACATTTTTAACCTAGCACGGATATCTAATAGGGATGGGTAACACTGTCTTTGTTAAAATGTATACCTTAATTTAATTTTAAAATTAAATCCTTTTTTGAATGACAGTATATGCACATCATAAAAATTCAAACGTGACAGAGGGAGTTTAAAGGAAATGCCAGTCTCTTCCCCACTGTGTCCAGGTTCGTGAGATCCCCTCCCATGCCTTCCAGAGGTTGCCTGTGCATCTGTGAGCATATATTGCTCTACCCATGAAAGCATATTTTACACTCTTATGTTCCTTGAATAGATCTTGGATATTGTTCTTCATCAGCATAGAAAGGGCTACTTCAGTCTTTTAAAAATGGCTACAGAACATTCCATTGAAAGAGGTATACCAGAGTGAACTCAACAGTTCAATATTTAGGTTACTTATAGCTTTTTCAGCAGCTAATTTTAAAAGTTAACTTTTGGAACACTACTCATTAACAGAACTGAGGACTGCCTGTATTGAAATAGATACTTTAGGTGGTTCCTGTGGCTCAAAGGAGTAGGGCACCAGCCCCATATGCCGGAAGTGGTGGGTTCAAACCCAGTCCTGGCCAAAAACTGCAAAAAAAAAAAAAAAGAAAGAAATGGATACTTTAATTTCCTTATAAAAAAAAAGAAGCAGAAATTCAAAATAGCTTGTCTCAAGTAAAACCTCATTTTAATGTATACTTTTGGAAACTATAGCAGATTGGTATTTGTCTTTCAAGATAGGAGTATTTCAGTATGACTTCAAAATATTTAGTTGGAACCACAAGTATTTGAAATAAATATTAAAGGCTCGACATGAAAATAATGGGTAGATTTAAGCTTTGGACTAACTATATCTAACTTTTGTTTTAGTGTGTTCATAATATTTTATATTTTTTACTGTAAAAAGCACATTTATCTTTTCATACCTCAAAATTAGAAGTTGCAGATTAAGACCAAATTCCTTAAAAGTAAGGAACTATAAAATTGTTTACTCAAAAATTAACTATCACATTAGTTTGCAGTATGATTTCCTTTAAGAAAATCTGACAATTAGGGCCTTTTGGGGTGGGAGGATGAAGTAGTTATTTAACTCCATAAGCTAGCTATTCAATATGAAGGCCCTCTCATGAGTGTGTTCATTTTGTTTTCTAGAATAGCATGTGTGAGTGCCCCCAGTGTTTACCAGAAACTCAGACAGCTGCACAGAGAAGACTTTTCAATATACATATTCGAATATGACAAAAGATTTGCTGTATACGGAGAAGAGTTTATCTTCTATGATTACAATAATCCATTGGATTTACCCCCCAAAATTGCTGCTCATAGTTTTGACATCGTAGTAGCAGATCCTCCCTATCTTTCTGAGGATTGTCTCAGAAAAACATCAGAAACCATCAAGTACCTGACTCAAGGCAAGATCCTGCTGTGCACAGGTAGGTGCCACATTTCATTATTTCACAAAAGCCAGTGACAGCTGATACACAATTCTTAGGTTTCAAGAGTTGGAAGAAATTTAAAACTCAAATCCTCTAGCACTCTGGGAGGCCAGGGTGGGTTGATTGTTTGCATTTAGGAGTTTAAGACCAGCCTAAACAAGAGTGAGATTTCCCCGTCTCTAAAAATAGCCAGGTGTTGCAGAGGGCGCCTGCAGTCCCAGCTATTTGGGACACTAAAGCAAGAGAATCGCTTGAGCCCAAGAGTTGGAGGTTGCTGTGAGCTATGACATCACAGCATTCTAGGGGAGGGAGGCAAGAAAGTGAGACTGTGTCTCAAAAGTAAAAAAAAAAAAGGCTTGGCACCTGTGGCTCAAGTGGCTAAGGCGCCAGCCACATACACCTGAGCTGGGGGGTTTGAATCCAGCCTGGGCCTGCCAAACAACAATGAGAGCTGCAACCAAACAATAGCTGGGCATTGTGGCGGGCACCTGTAGTCCCAGCTACTTGGGAGGCTGAGGCAGAGGAATCACTTGAGCCCAGGAGTTGGAGGTTGCTGTGAGCTGTGATGCCACAGTACTCTACCCAGGGTGACAGCTTGAGGCTCTGTCTCAAAAAAAAAAAAAAACTCAATTCTTGGGCCAGTCCATGGTGGCTCACACCTACAATCCCAGCACTTTGGGAGCCTGGAGGATCGCTTGAGGCCAGTAATTTGAGTCTGGCCTCGGCAACATAGTGACACCCTATCTCTACAAAAAAATAAGTACATTTAGTCACACATGGTGGTGTGCACTCTTGAGTCTTAGCTATTCAGGAGGCTAAGGTGGGAGGATTGTTTAAGCCCAGGACATCAAGGTTACAGTGAGCTGTGATTGCATCATTATACTACTCTAGTCTGGGTGACAGGGGGAGACTCAAAACAAAACTCAAACTGAATCCACTACTTTCTATGTGACCTTCAAAAAGTTATTTAACCTCTCTGCTCCCAGTTTCCTTATCTGAAAACCAGGTCATACTACTTGTCTTTGTGGGTCATGGAGAATTCAGTGACATAATACACATGAAGTTCTTATCTCAGGGTTTGGTGCATAGCAACTACTTCATGAATGTTAGCCATTATTTTTACTTAGTCATCATTATCATGATCATTATCATTGGTAGTTTTTGATCCAGATGATCTACTGGATAAAAGAGAAATTTAGAACCTGTAGAGTTAGAGTGAATTGCCTAAGGTTATATATAGAGCTAGACAAATGATGAGGTTCCTTAAAGTAAGAAGAGTTTGAGATCTGATATACTTGTTTGAGGTGAATATAGTAAAATTTGGGAACTAAAATTTTACCTCCCAGTCTCTTTACTCCAGGGCACTCCAGGAATTCAGGCTGATGGGTGTTGTTCCTGGCCCTAGGCCTGGGCCCTCGGGGCTACCTTTCTCCCCTGAGCACATAGCTATGAGCAGGGGCTGAGCCACTTTGGTGTTAGAAATTGGTTATTTGGAGCAGTGCCTGTGGCTCAGTGAGTAGGGCGCCAGCCCCATATTCCAAGGGTGGCAAGTTTGAGCCCTGTCCCGGCCAAATTGCAATAAAAAAATAGCTGGGTGTTGTGGCGGGTGCCTGTAGTCCCAGATGCTCAGGAGACTGGGATAATGAGAGACAGTAGCTATTTGGACAAAGTTGCAAGCTCCGGAGGCTGAGGTAAGAGAATTGTCTAAGCCCAAGAGCTGGAGGTTGCTGTGAGCTGTGATGCCACAGTACTCCAATGAGGGCGATAAAGTGAGACTCTGTCTCTAAAAGAAGAAAGAAATTGATTATTTGCTCAAATATGCTACTCTTTGATCACACAAATATAGTAACTAATGCTTATTAATTTAACTGCTTACTAACACAGGCAGTGCTCTGACCTCATGGAGTATATATTTTAGTTTTAGGAGATAGGTTAAAAAAAGGTAGCAAAACATACTGAAGAAGTGACATTCTCATTCTGACAAATGTAATGAAAGAAGCAGAGACCAGTGGTGCTGGCACAGCAAGTCTTGAGAGGCATGGAGCTATGGAGGCTGCTCTAGGCCAGACACAGAGCCAGGCAGGAGTCTGGTAAGGGTAGAGTCATGGGCATGAGGATCCCTGACAGGTAACAGTTGGGAGTTGGAGTTTTCTTTTTGAAGTGCTCAGCCCTAAAGTCACAGGATCCAGTTTGTCTAAAGAAGTTGGCTTTAACTTTGTACAGAGGAGATTTCATGGGGGAAGTGGGTGCAGGCACTGTCTGGACTTTTTCAGTGTCCAGATGAGAGACAATAGCTGTTTGGACAAGGTTGCAGCAGCAGGAGGGGCGGGGCAGGGGATGGATTAAAAGATGCTTGAAGATAAAATTGGAAGAGCTCGCTGGGCTCTGAGTGTTGGGGAAGAAAGGGCAAGAATGGGGCTGTCCCAGGTTTCTGGCCTGTGGGGGCTGCCAGGGCCACTTCCTGCCAGGGGATATTGAGGGAGCTGGCTTTATTGGAGCAGGGGGTGAAATCCAGGCAATTGAGGAAAAGGTGGCAGTGCATTCTTACTAGTTTGTAAGATTGCATATTACCAAAAAAGAGGTTCCCAAAGATCATTGACTCCATGGTGGGAAACCCTAGCTTTTAGCAATGCGTTTTGCTTTCCTTATGTTTATTTGTGGGATGTAATCTACTTCTAAATTTCTATGTGTCTCAGCTTTGCAAATTAGGAAAATTATTTTTTAAATAAAAAAGAAATGGAGAAAAGTAGGTAATTTTTTAAAATGTTGGAGAAGGTAAAACAGACCATAGAGACCCTCCTGCTCTTTTGTCAAGTGATTTTCTGGGACTTAGAGGCCCCTCTGTGTGGTTGTGTTGGTCCTGACTCTGGGGCTGGTGATTCACCTTTTGGATTCATTTAATTTGTTCTCTTCAGGGGCCATCATGGAAGAACTGGCAGCAGAACTCCTTGGAGTGAAGATGTGCAAGTTTATTCCAAAACATACCCGAAACCTGGCAAACGAGTTTTGCTGTTATGTGAATTATGAATCTGGGCTAGATTGTGGTCTCTAAATACAGGGAGTAATACAATACAAACAGTAAAGGGCCCCTGGCACATTTCTCCTCTTTTTTTATTTTCCTCTTAGATTGAAAAGTCATGCCCTTCTGCCCTCCCCACCAAATAAGAGCCGTCCTTGGCCTGATTTTCAAAATAAGATCACAACCTGTCATTGTTTCCTTAAGGAGAACAACTCTTATAGCTCTGTCTTCTGCCAACCTGAATCCATGGAATTAGAGTTGGAAGAAACCTTAGAAACTGCCTAATCCTCTCTCCTCATTTAATGTATGTAAAATCAGAAGAACAAACAGTTTAGTGGATTGCCCAAGGCCTCCTGAATTAGGCCCTCAGCCTTGGCCTCAGGCCATAGGCTCCCTTAAAACGGGCTCCTTTTGACTGTCTGGCACAGTCTGGTAGCATCCTAGGGCTTGTTGGCCCTCACCCCCATCCTACTCCAACCCCACAAGGAGGTACATCCCAGGAGCTAGTATCTGGGTGCCTATGGGAATTCTCCTCTTCCCAGTTCTGGAAGGGCTGGTGATGGGAATGGAACACTGGTGGCTTCTGTGAAGCTTAGTCTTAGCGCCCTCACTTTGAAAGGCCTTGGCAGATGAAAGTTCTATCTGTAAACCAAACCCCACAACCAAAAAGGGAGGTGGAAAATGTGTGTGTTGTCATTGTTCAAAGCATATTCATACACCTGCACCCCAGAGGACAGCAGCAGCCAGAAGGGGTGAACTGTTGATTGACACAAGTGGGATGGACCTCAAAAGTATCAACTGAATGAAAAAATTCCCAAAGATCATACATTGGATGTTTCTAGTTATAACATTCTTGGAGGGAAAACAGATTAGTGGTTGGTAGAGGTCATATGGGTATAGGAGGAGTTCTCTGGTGCTGGCGTGGTAATCTGTGTCTTGCCCATGGTGGTGGCTTCACATATTTGCACATGTGACAGCATTACATAAAACCATACACATGCACATATGTGCATATGTAAAGCTGGTTACCTCATACTGGGGTCTGTGAGTTGAACCGGTACTATTTCCTGGTGGTTACAATATACTAGTTAGATAAGATGTTAGCATCAGGGAAAACTGGGTAAAAGGTATGTAAGACCTATCAGTAGTATTTTTCCAATTTCTTGGGAAGCCACAATCATTTTAAAATAAAAACTTCTAACTGGGCATCATGGCAGGTATCTGTAATCCCAGCTACTCAGGAGGCTGAAGCAAGAGGATTTCTTGAGCCCAAGAGTTTGAGGTTGCTATGAGTTATGATGATGCCATGGCACTCCACTAGGGGCAACAGAGTAAGACTGTCTCAAATAAATAAATAAAAGCTTTCCAAAAACATTCCTTTTCTCCGGGAAAAGATTACACTTCCCCACCTCACATTACTTGCTTTGGCCAACACAGTGTGCAAGGAAGTGAAATATGTCACTTCTCTTTGGTTGTCCCATCCTTGTGTGGGGCAGGGCCACAGCCCCCCTGCAGGGTGTGTGTGGGGTGCAGAAATGAGCCTATGCTGTAGGATGTTACTCACTGGATAAAACTCACCCTCTCCTGACTGGGCCCGAGAGGAAGGCCAGCACACACAGTCCTGCTCAGCAAGCCTCGGGGGCATGAGCTCCTTCCCACTGTTTCTTAGATGTCAGCTGTCATACTCTGGATGACTTTTAATTTACTTTAAAAATCACTCTGTTTGTATGAAACACTGGTATTTTTAACAGTACCGCCTGGCACATGTTAAGTATAAATGTCTATTCTTTTAAAAATAACCCCTATTATTTCCTTATGAATCAGTTTGCTAAAAATTACCTGGGCCAGTAACAAGTCGTAGTAACAAATTGCATATAGAAATGCAATGTTGGGCGGCACCTGTGGCTCAGTGGGTAGAGCACTGGCCCCATATACCAAGGGTGGCGGGTTCAAACCTGGCCCCGACCAAACTGCAACAAAAAAAATAGCTGGGCATTGTGGTAAGGTGCCTATAGTCCCAGCTACTCGGAAGACTGAGGCAAGAGAGGCACCTAAGCTCAGGAGTTGGAGGTTGTGAGCTGTGTGATGCCACGACACTCTACCAAGGGTGTTAGGGTGAGACTGTCTCTACAAAAAAAAAAAAAAAGAAGAAGAAGAAATGCAATGTTTAGGCCCCATACAATCATGCCTGTAATCCTAGCACTCTGGGAGCCGAGGCAGGTGGATTGCTTGAACTCAGCAGTTCCAGACTAGTCTGAGCAAGAGGGAGACCCCATCTCTACTAAAAATAGAACAAAAAACTCGCTGCACATGGTGGCAAGCGCCTGTAGTCCCAGCTATTCAGGAGGCTGAGACAGGGGACCACTTGAGCCCAAGAGTTTGAGGTTGCTATGAGCTATGATGATACTATGGCACTCTACCCAGGGCAATAGAGTAAGACTTTCTAAAAAAACAAAACAAAACAATGTTTAATGTAGGAATTGTGAGAGAGTAGTAGCACCCTGGAAATAACAGAATTGTAGTTATCCTGTAAATGTAGCATTTAGTTCAAGAGAAACCTTATTTCTTCATTAAGAGGTAAGTGGTGTAAGTACAAGCTTGACTCACATCAGAACTGGACATCAGACTGGATACCGATAGGTCAGTGGTTAGAGTGCCAGCCCTGTGCACTAGGAGTGGTGGGTTCAAACCTGGCTGGGCCTGCTTAACAACAACAAAAACTGGACATGTTAGGAGGCTTATGAAATGAAGTAATTGCACTTTGGTTTCATAAGCAGCCAATGTCTTGTGTCATGGCTTTGGAACCCTGATGTGATTTTGATTTTAGCAGATCTGTGTTTGTAAGTAAGTGACCTACTTCTGGATTAAATAGAAGAGCTGCTGCTATAACTCTGCAACCTTTAAGAAATACCTGTTAGGCATGGTGTGTTCCTTGGGGCCTCTCTTAACAAATGGGAAGTGCACAGGGGATAAGTGCTAGGAGGCCAGGCCAGGCCGATCTCATTGCCCCGTCTGTACGTTGCAAATGCAGATGTGGAATGAACTTCACGATTGCTCACAAGACTCCCTTGCCTCTTATACCTCACATCCAGACTTCAAAGCCTGAATGGATGTTTTCATAGACATCTTTGTAAGTCCTTTCTGATTCAGAAATTTGCACTGAGAGACAAAGTAACCATCTACACAGTGGGAGGGACAGGATAATTTTGTTTTGCTAATAAAATCCAGAGGTTTCCCTGTAACTGTTCAACTGTGTGTTGGGGGCAAGAACAGAGGGAACACACAGGAAACTTTAAACTGTGGAGACAGGATTATATGCTCGTTTCTATGGTCAGGGCTGGAGCAAGTTACTAAAATTGGCCATTCCCTCTGCCCTTTGCCCTACTGAAAGATGTAGCAAAACAAGAAGTGTGGGTGCTTGGCACCTGAACGTGGCACTGTTGATATTTGCAGAATGTTTTTGGATGCCTTTTCCCAAGTGATTGCATGTGTACAGGACAGGTATACAATAGAGATACTGTCGGTTGGTTGGAAAATACCTTCAGTAACCAGCAAAGTACCTCCATTCCGAGGGTTGTCATAGAATCCTCAAGACAGAATTCATTTGACAAGAACATGCACTTTTCTGGGAGGAAGGGAAGAAGCACTGAAATGTACAGCATCAAGGTTGCACCTCTGCAAAGCCTAGAAATCAATAGAGTATCCAAAGGCAATCCCCAGTCGAGTGGAATTTGGGGGCGGGGGAAATGTCATTGAATTTCGGCTGGCAGTTTCTTCAGTATGTAAACTTCCCTTTTGTTTGATAAAACAAAATATCAACCCCCTTCCCCCCTTAAGAGCTTTTAGTGTTAAATGAGAACAAAATTCTGTTAAATAAAATATCATTCATTGAAATAGCACCTCCCCAAACTCTGCCACTACCTCTAATTTCAAAGTGTATCCAATAGCAGCTGTCTAGTGAAAGTGCTACAGATTTTGTAAATTTTAAATGTAACCTGTTTTGGTTTTTTTTTTTTTTTTTTTTTTAGACAAGAGTGTCACTATGTCGTCCTCAAGTAGAGTGCGTTGGCATCACAGCTCACAACAACCTCAAACTCTTGGGCTTAAGCGAATCTCTTGCCTCAGCCTCCCAGGTAGCTGGGACTACACACTCATGCCACAATGCCGAGCTATTTTTTTGTTGCAGTTGGCCATTGTTGTTTAGCTGACCCAGGACAGGTTTGAACCTGCCAGCCTCATGCATGTGGCCAGTGCCGTAACCACTGTGCTACAGACACTGAGCCTAAACTTAACCTGTTATACCAAAAAAAAAATCACATCTGGCAGATGCCAACTAGAGCAATAAATATAATACAAAGAAGGCTTAGCTTGATTTTTATTTTAAATGTAGCTTATACATGATTGGGACAGTGTTTTAATGCCTACTGTAAGCAGGTAGTATGCAGGCCAGGCACTGTGCTGAGGGCTTGGCCAACTTCTATGCGGGGGGTGTTATGCGCTTGTTTCCCAAATTAGGAAAATGTAGCTCATCAAGGAGAGGGAATTCATACAGAAGGCAGCACCCTAGCATGTGAGCAGTTGTGGGCTTATGCTTTTTATTTGTTTTAGCTAAAGAAAGAGATTGTATCTTACTGACAACTGTCTTGTAGCAGCTCAGTAACTGGAACCAGGGAAGTGCCCGATAGGAATTTACTAAGTGGATGAATATGCCGTTAAGAGAAAAAAATCACAAATAAAGCTTGCTTTTCTAGACTTTTGAATGGAAAGCTAATTTCTTCTGAGAATATGATACCTTTTAATAAGCTAACTCATAATACAATAAATAAAACTGTGACATTTTCCCCATGCAAATAGTTTGCTCTACTGAATTGCCTTCCTCTTAGCTTACGCTATTTATATTTAGGAGTAGCCTGGAAAATATTACACAACAGATTGAAACAATATCCACATTACTGAATTGAAAGGTATTTTCCTATTAATACATGGATTTTTGTCGTTGCTTTAAACCTTGTTTTCTCACAGGAATGTATTCTAGACATACAACCACCAGAGGATCCCATTTCTCTCCCCCAGGTTGAACAAGGAAATAAAATTTCCCAAAGTCTACAGAGCTATTGCTTTCAATTGTGAATTTTTTATTTGGACAATGTAGATTTTACCAAGTGATGTTTTCATACAAAATTTCTGTCAATATTTTGTAGGAGCTGAAAGTTCCCCAAGTGACCCTTCTGTTGGGATCAAACTAAAGCTGATAGTCGGAAATGGAGGGAAGCCAACTCTTATTTCTATGGCAGTGAAGCTTGTGTGTGAAATACATTTGAATAAAGAACACTTCTTGGTCTTAGTTGGGGGTGTCACTAAAGATCAAAGAGATTGTCATGACTAATTGATCTTTCTAGGACCAAATCTTTATGAACTTAAATTTCAACCATGAGATTAGATAAAGGAAAACTTTAGTTAACATTATTTCTTCTAGAACTCAAGTCCAGCCCACCCAAGCAGAATCCAGAAAGAAATGCACATAACCAGCATATCTTTCACCTATAATTACTTTTTAATGATTTAAAAAAAACTTATAATTTTTACAAATAACTGTGTTTAGAGACAGACTTTCAACAGGACTTAGCTCATGTTGAAGTTTGTAGAAAAAGGAGCCTCAGAATTGATCTCTAAATTGGCCCACTTTCTCCTCATATTTGGCCTGATCCTGAAGCCCTGATAACCATATGCCATTACCCGCTTGGGCTGTGCCTAAAAAATGGCAAAGATGTCACATTCCACCTCTTATCTCACCACATTTTATCCACAAATTGGCTCTCGTCGCTTTCAAAAGTGAAAAAACAACCCAAAATTTAGACTGTTTAAGTTTGAGACCATTTATATACTCATGAATAAAACCAAGTTTGAGATTTCTGGAATTCTTAGCCCTTTCTGGGATCATATGAGCCACCTGCACATCCCCTTGGTTCACCTGGTGGCCTGTGAGGATCTTCAGTGGGAGTAACAGCAGGTCCATTTCAGTGTCACACCGGCCGTGAGTGGACGACTGCACTAGGAGACCCCAGCCAAAGCACCAGCTAAAAAGTTTATCAAGGATTCTAAAATACTCCGTCAGAGTACATGAAAACTGAATACTTATAAAATGTTTATGTCAAGTAAAAATATATTTGCTCTAAAGTGCTAATATAAAAATAGTTTCTTCCCCTATTCAAAACAGTTGACTTAAAAAGTAGGTATATGCTCTACTTAAAAAAAAAAAAAAACTTTAAAAAGCACAGTCTCCCTTTCAGGGTCCCCGCTGCAGCTGGAAGACTCCCCAGTTCCCGGAGGGCCTTCTCCAAACCCCAGGCGGCTCCCAGCGGGATGCCCGTGCCCAGGTCTTTCCCACTAGCTTTCAGTGACTGCCCACTTTTGCCTAAAAGTAAGCCGGGGACACGCCGCGCCAGAGCAGCCTTGACCCTAGATGGAAGGGCCGCCATCAGGTATGGTCGCCAACCCAGCCATCCCCCCCGCAGCCAGCACACGCGCTTCTCCTCGGGGGCCGGGACCAAGCCAGCTCAGGGGCGGGCCGGCTCATCGTGGGGGCTGAGCAGGAGCTTGGTGCCCTGTTTGTCGATGCTGGAGTTGAGGCTGTCTGCGTCCTTCTCCTGCTCGGGGACGCAGGTGCAGCCCACCGGGATGGTGACGTAGTCCTCGGCGTAGACGGCACGGCCCCCAGCGCAGGCGGCCGTGCGGCGCAGGACCACGGTGGGCACGTAGACCGGGGCGCTGCGGAAGCGCAGGTCCTCCTCCCCGAACAGCCCTGTCAGGCAGCCCCGGCACAGGCAGTAGGCTTCGGGCAGGTACTTCGGATACCTCTTGGGGTCGTAGGAAATTCTGCAGGGAGAGAGCAGGGTTGAGTTCATGCTGACAAAGGGCAGCCCCAGAAAAATGTTTGCTCTGAGACCAAGAAAACATGTGTCGGACACTCCGTTGAGATCAGGGACTAAAGAGAAGAGGGAAGAAGGTCGGGTATGTCCCCCAGTAGGGTCCTCACCAAGTCCTGGTCTAAACCGCCAGTAGAGTATCTGCTGATGTGAGCAAACAATCCACGGGATATGCTGACGGTGCCTCCTGGGGCCGAATAAGAATCCTGCCTGGCTTCGGACCGCAGCTCCAGCCCCAGGGGCCACCTCAGTGCCCCACAGAGCGACCCTCAGTGCACTGGGCTCTGAAGATCCACAGGCGCAGGTGGGGCAGACATTTCCACCCCTGGACGCCAAGCTGGGAGGCACCTGTGCAGGAGGCCACCTTCCTCAGCCAAAGGCCCCAGCTGGCCCAGCGGGCAGGACCTGCCAGCCTGGATTCAGGTAACTCCATCAGCTCTGCCCGCCTGTGGCCACAGTGTCCACCAGTCTTAGGGACCAGGGGATTCCCTGGAAGGAGGCGACCACACTCCTGGGCTGGACACTGCCACAACCCCACAGCCAGCAGGCCGTTGGGAACCGCAGGCCTCTTCAGAGTGTCCTCTTTCTCAAGGGGGAGCATTAATCTGTCCATTTACGATGTGCACTGCCCTCAGTACACAACGTTTCATTCTCCGCAGCCAAGTCCCATAGACCCTCACATCTCATGGTCACAGCCGGGGCCAGAGAAGCAGGGGCACATTTGCAAGCACATGACGTCCCTGACAGGGAAGGACGGGTCCACTGAGAAAAAAGTGAGCTGCAAGCAAAGTATCAGTCCCTAAAACTGGAGGAACGGGGGTCCGACTGTGTGCGGGGCAGGCAGAAGTCTACAGCCTATGGGCCTTGGAGAGGGACAGGGCCAGAACACTCAGAAGTTTGTGGAGGCAGGGGGTCAGGGGTGGGGGGCCTAGGGGCTGGTCTGCAGAAGGGGAGAGCCAGTGACTGCTGCCTGACAGGCAGCACAGCCAGAATGAGTCTTGGGAGGACAGGATAAAATTTGCTAGATCAGGCCAAGAGCTTTCTCCATCGGGAGACTTTGTCAGTGGCCTGGTGCCCTAAGGAAGGCACATGGTTTTCTTTTTCTGTTGGGGCCAACATCTTTAGACATGGATCGGCTGAAGCATGCCTGAGTGGTGAGTCTAGACATGGTGCATTCTTTCCACAGGGAATCTATGTGAAGGGCCCAGGTGGGCTTCCTACAGAGGAGGGCAAGCACAAGAAGCAGCTGGTGATCTGGACTCAGGAAACCTGTGAGGCAGAGGTGGCAGGCGGAACCCCCTGCTAGGACACCATAGGCCCAGCTGCCTCTTCACACACATTGATGCTCAAAGGGACATTTCCAAGTACTTGGCAAGATTGAACGCGGGCATGAGGTCAAAAGAGGTCAGTGATGACTCTAAGGTTTCCAGTCGGGGTGCCCAGAGGAGGGGCAGGGGAGCAGAAGCCTGGGCTGAGGCCCTCCTGCTCCGTAGGAAGAGAGTACGGAAGACAGGCAGGAGTCCAGGGCCAAGGCTAATAAGTTGGAGAGGGAGGGAACCATCAGCAAAAGTTGTCTCCAAAGCAAAAACTGATTTTGTCCATTCACCCCTCCCTCCAAAATGCACACAAATAGCTCCTCGAGGCTGCTGTTTCCTCGGTTCCACCACCAGGAGCTTTTAAAGCACAATGAGCTTCCTGTGGCAGGAGGAAACTGTCTACACTCACCTCCCCAGCAGTGCCAGTCTTCTGTGGCGCCTCATTCCTCCCCCTCAGTTCTGTGGTTGCCCAGCCCACAACTCTCATGCTGCGGGTGTTCATATAGGAAAAACCCGAATTCCTCTGCTTTGCCTTCAGAGGCCTCCAGGTTTAGCCCACACCTGTCTAGCATCGCTCAAGCATCTCCAAAGTGGAATGCCCCCTGCACGGCCAATGGCCAGGCTTTGCTCGAGAGGTCTCTTCCCCACACCTGTATCAACTCAGTGAAGCCTGAATCTAATTTTAAGGTCCAATTCAAGCCATTATTTTAAGTTTAAATGCAATTATCAAATTCCTTCAGTTGAACTCTACTCCTCTCCCTGTGTGCTCATAATGGAAATTCCACAACACCTAAGTCTGCCCTGGGAGGGAAGGCTGAGGACAGGGTTGACGCCTCCTCAGGCCCTGACATGACATTCCAGAGCCTTCCACAAAGGAGGAGCTTGGAGCTGGGTGAGGAACCTGGCCTGTACCAGCTTCCTGCCCCTTCACACCTGAGCTCTATATAAGCCCCTAACTTAATGTATGAAGGATAAGGAAATTCTAAACAGTTAGGATTTATGACCTCCAAACAATTTCAACATAAAACCAACAAATACATGTGTGCTATTTCAGGTGAGAGGGACATAGACAAAACACATACCTCCTGGCCAGGAACTCGTCTTTGGGGACAAACATGCAAATTATGGACTACAGAGAGCCTCCTGGCAAAGGTGGATCCTGGGTGGGTTTATGGTGAAAAAGATGAAGGCTCTAGGGGCACAGTTCAAAGCCCAGGATCCAGGGAATGTGTCATAGCTAGTACGAGAAAAGGCCAGAGCCCAGAAAGAGAGTGGGGCCGTGAGGCCAGAGCTCCTGCATACCTGACCATGGGGGCCTGGCAGGAGTATTCAGGAGCCTGGCTTTGGCCCTAAAGGCAATGGAAGGGACCTGGTCAGATGGAATTTTAGAAAACCCCCTCAGATTACAGAGTAGAAGGTCTGGAGCTCCAGGGGAAGATCGTAACCTGAAAGTGGAGTTTTGTTTGTTTATAGACAGAGTCTCCCTTGGTAGAGTGCCTGTTGTCACAGTTCACAGCAACCTCAAACTCTTGGGCTTAAGCAATTCTCTTGCCTCAGACTTTCAAGTAGCTGGGACTACAGGTGCCCACCACAACACCTGGTTATTTTGTTGTGGTTGTTGCAGTTGTCATTGTTGTTTAGCAGGCCAGGGCTGGGTTTGAACCAGCTAGCCTCAGTGTATGTGGCTGGTGCCCTAACCACTGAGCTATAGGAGCCAAGCCAGGTGGATAGTTTTTACCATTGTCCCATAAGACAATTCAAGGGAGTGTGAAAAGGGAGAACAAATGGGGCACAGGACACAAGGGCACACCAGCTTTCCTGGAAGAGCTGGCTTGATGATGGAGACTGTTGGACACAGGGTATCCTGGTGGGTGGAAACCTGACCTGGGGCAGTTAGAATAAATTAAGCCCCTTCCATTCTCAAATGTCTATATCTGGCCGATCAATTACGGGGATGCTTAAAAAACATATCCAACCCACACTGAGGGACATTCTACAAAATCTTTGGCCACCTGAGTCAATGAATGAGTTGTGCTGGATCCTGGGACAGAAAAGGGTCATCTGCAGGCTACTCTAACTCAGGTCTGCAGGTTAGATTAATTTTGACCAATGTTCATTCTCTGATCTCACCATTTTGCTGAGATGAATTACGACACTGATGTTTGGGGAACCTGGGCAAAGGGTGCACAGGGATTCCTTTTCCTAATTTCACACATTCTATTATCTTGAAATTATTTCAAAATAAAGAGTTAAAAGTAAGGTAAAACAATGAAGAAAAGTTTTAAAAATCATTTATGGGACAATCAGGGGAATTGGGACGTGACTTAACATTTGCAGATGTTCAGGCATGATGATGGGACTAAGGCCTCATTGGCCAAGTTCTGAGCTCTAAGGCTGCCCTGGTTCAACTGCCAATGCTAGTAAGGTCTCTGAGTGTCCTGCCATCAGCAGCATGCAGGTTGGTGTGCATGTTAACCTGGGAACATTCTGAAGTCCCATACTCCCATGTGGGCATGAATAACGATATAGCACCACATGCATAGACTATTGCTGGCCCTGGGAGGGCCCAAGGACAATGACGGCTTCACAAGCAAAGAGAGGGAATGAAGGAGCTCCAAGCAGAAAGAAGCAACACACAGCAAGGCTAGAGAGCAGATGACCACAGTGGGCTCTGAACTGCCAGGGGGACTTTGTAGTTGGTTTGGGGGTGGGGAATGAGAGCCTGAGTGTGTGTGTGCTCATACACTTGCGTGATGGGTCGAGACCGGGTGAGAGATTCTCGCTGTGCACGGGGGCCAGGGGGCCAGAGCAGAGCCTAGATTGGATGTCCCATTAGGGTCCCACGAGGGCATGAGCAGTTGAGCCGAGGTGAGCTCCCCACATGGAAAGTGCTTCTGACAGCATCGCAGGGAACAATTCAATGAGGACCAAGGGCAGGCATGGGCCCAGTATGGCCTCATTGGATTCTGCTTCCTCACTGGTACTGGGAGCTGAACCGGAAGGCACTGTCAAGCCCTTGCAGTTCTCATCAACTGGGACTTGTCCATCCATGCCCACAGTGTGGAGCTAACTGCTCCCTATAGGCCATTTGGAAACAGATGTCATCCTGCTGGTTTTGCAGGTGAAGCTAAAAGGCACTTAGATGCACTGAGGGTCAGAGGTTTATCCAACTAAAAATGTCCCCCCCAGCCCTTCAGCCAGACAGATTGACACTTCTACCATCACTGCCACCCTATGGGGTAAAGGCCTCTGATAGAAAGTCACCTGCCCCATCTTTGTCCCACTGCCATCGACCATGAGAGGTATGAATAGGGCAGAATGCAAACTGCCAACCATGGGGCTAAGACCAGTGGTTACTCTTGATACCGGAAAAGTGGTGCCCCAGCCAGCTCAGCCGAGCGGGGCTTGGGGACCTGCCACCTGTCTTGGTGGCAGCAGCCGGCAGAGGAACCAGCAGGTTGGAGCAAGCGGATGGGAGCTTCCCTCCCCCACCAAAGGCTCCAGTAGAGCGGCGCTAGAGGACCTGCCCGCTCTGCCTTGGTGGCAGCTGGCACAGAAACCAGCAGGCTGGAGCAAAAGGGGGAGCTTCCCTCCCCCAACAGAGGCTCCAGTAGCCAAAAGAACTGAACAAGTG